TATGCTCCTTGCTTCATGACCACCCACCCACACATCACCCTCCAAGCCACCTCCATCACACTAGAGCCCTCCAAGTACAGTGCCCTGGGCCTGTCAGTGCATTTTCTTTAAAGCCCCTCTCCCACTCCTGGACTCTGCTAGTTGATCTCTTCAGGTCACATTTTCTGTCCAGGTAGCTCCTTACAGGAATCCAAGATGGCCTTGTACTGGCTGCACTCACAGGATCACAGTCTCACACCCAGTCCAAAGCATTAAGTACAATGCAATGTTCACCCTAGAGAACCTTCCCTCCTCAAGCCACCACAACTGGGCTCGTACAGGCTCTTGCCTGCTGGTAGTTTCAAGCCTTGGTGTGGCACCTCGGAGACTACAAAGTGTTGGGAAATTGCTCTTGGCTTAAGCCTCTTACCTGATATGGAAAAGACTAGTCTGTGCTCCACTTCACAGGAGGTGGGTGTGACTTCAGGAGGACCCTCAAGTCAAAAATCCAAACAGAATTGAAGCCACAAACCCAGATTTTAATTAGGAACAATAGAAAGACACCCTCAGAATAGCACTGGGCTCAATACCAAAAACAGCCTAAACAAGTGGCTTTCTTGTAGCAGGAGCAGGGTGTGGGTATCAGTGGATAGAAAGTTATTTGAAATGAAACATTCATTCTGACTAAACCAACTTTATGTAATTCTTACCGAAGTCGGGCCAGGCTGATCAGATACCAAGAGCAGGGGATGAGAAATGTGATCATCTATCTAAGGGATCCTTAAAACTCTGAAAGTCAAGTTCCAGATATACTTGTAATGCAAGATGCTTTGTTGTCTCATTCTGATTGGCTTTGAGAAGATGACAGCATCCTACAATATGGCTGCTCAGTTATCATTTTTCTTATTAGTAAAATTGCACTGTTTTTTCCCAATACCCATATATGCTGGTAGTGTCTCTCTAAATGTGGAAGAAAACAAACCTTAGTCATTGTTCCTTCTATTTGCAAAGAACTGATGGAGATTTACTATGAAACTGAGCCTCAAATTCAGAGTAATTTCAAGTCAATCCAACAAGTATTTCTTGACTATATACTATGAGTCAGATATCAATTTATTAGCATGTTTATAATGTCCATTTCCCCATTCTGTCAGCACTATTCTGTGAACTCTTAGATGGCCCTACACCTTTGCATCTCAGAGTTCACAGTCCAGTACTGATAGAATGGGGAATGGGGATTATAAACATGCTAAAAAATTGGTATCAGTGGTACCGATAGCTCCCTAATATCTTTCCTCACTTCTATCATTGTATAACATTCTTCAGGGATAAGGTTGACAAAGTCCCCCAGGGTGACTTCTCTCCACATTACCTCTATTGGAAAACCAATGCAGTACATTGTGCCTTGAATTCTGTTTTTCTTCCTTCTATTTTTTAAAATACTTTTTTTACTATATACTCATTGTATAAAATAATTGGTTTCATTGGGACATTTTCATGATGTATATAAAATACTTAGATCATATTCATTCCCCTCTTAACCTCTCTTATCCACCTCCCCTAAACTTTTTCCTCTTTCTTACTCATCCCTCATTTATTTCAATGCCTCCCCCACCACTATATTCCACATATGACAGGAAATATGTAATACTTTTCTCTCTGAGTCTGACTTATTTTGCTTAACATATTGATCTTCAGTTTCATAAATTACCTAAGATGATTCAGAGCTTAGCTTGTGTCCTTCCAGTCCACATTTCTTGTTTTAGTATAGTCATTATGCATCCATACAATGCTTGCAATGTTTTCAGTGTTAGAAGAAATTTTCTACAACTCTTTTCTAAGGGACTGTTATGTTATTATCCTGAATGATGCATGTGGCACCAATTCATTCACTGTTACAGCTAGGTACTCTGTTATAACATCACAATTTCCCATTGAACCATTAACTAATTTTTATGACTTTTTTTTACCCTAGGATGTGGTCTTTATGTTATAGCTTTCATTTCTCTTAATTATTTTCATGAATTCCTTTAAATCTTTGACTATTTTTAACCATATGAAAGTCCCAAGGTGATAATTACATCATTTCACTAATGTGCCTGTTTCTACTAACATTATTTTCCTTGTTATAGGTCATATGTTTCCACTTCTTCAAATGTCTAGTAATTATGGAATGACTATGCTTTTCATTATTTAGTGTTTTGATTATGTTGTCTTCCTTTAAAAACTGTTGATTTTTGTTCTAGCAAAGAAATTTTTTTGGTGGTAATGGGGTTTGAACTAAGGGCCTCATGCCTGCTAGGAAGGCACTCTACCACTTGAGACACTCTGCCACTTCTTTCTTATATTGGGTATTTTCAAGGTAGGGTCTCTCAAAATATTTACCCTGACCTCAAACCCAATCTTTCTGATCTCTGCTTCCTGAATAGCTAAGATTATGGGTGTGAGCCACCAACACCCGGCTGTTGTGGCAAATTTGTGGAATACCTGGATCTTTTTTAAGGTTTCTTTTAAAGTTCATTAGAACAGGTCTAGAGTAGCCTTCATTCTATGGCTCCCCAAGGTGACCTTTCTGGGGTCTCTACTGGTCACTCGAGATTTTCAAAGTGGTCTCTCCACTTTTCATATAATTATATCAGCATTCATATAATTCTATCTGATAAAGCTATGGCCATCATTATGTTTTAGGCCTCTACTAGCTCCTTTTCCTTTGCAGGTGTTATTTGCCAATTTTCAGGGAGTCTTACTGTACACATACAGGGTTCAGTATTTAGCTGTTATCTATGAAGAATTATGGAACTCTTTTTTGGTATATCTTCCTCTCTTCTCTGTCCCACCAATTCCAATCATATCAGTTACAAAAAAAAAATCCCAGTCTATATTTTCTCATCCTTTCAAGACTAGTGTGTTGTGATTCATTTCTCATCTTAAAATGGAATATTAAATGCCCCAACTTGAAAGTCAATGATTGTGGAGCTCACTTCATTTGTCCCTTTCTCAGAGAATCACAGTCCTGCAGTTCCACTTTCTAATATCTGGAAAGTATCTGTGAGGCTACTTTGTCCAGTTTTCTGATAGTTTATTGTGGAAGGTCTATTCCAGTACTAGATAATGATATGATGAAACAAAAGTCTCATCAATCTGTTGAGTTTTTGCTTTATTTTCCTTTTTGCTACTGTAAATTGAATCAAGTGTCTTGCACATGCTAGGAGAACATGTCCATACATCCTTACATCCATAGCCTTTTATAAACATCTCATTTTGAGACATGGTCTTGCTAATTTGCCAAGGCTGTCCCAGAATTTGCAATCCTCCTGTCCTAGCCTCCCAAGTATCTGGGATCACCAAGCTCTGCTATGCTGTTGTGTTTTTAACAGAAATTAAGGCAGCCTAAGAATGCTTCCCTTCCTTGTATCTGTTCCACTTTCCAGGTGACTTCACAAATCCTCTTTGGGCTGGTGGAGGTATAGCCCCTTCTTAGCAAGTGTGAGGCCCTGAATTGAAACTGCAGTACTGTAAAGTAAAAACATTCTCCACAAAAGATAGAATCTATTTACACTTGTGTTCACTCTGAACTGAGCAATTGATGTGTTTTTGACTAAAAGAATGTGAGGAAATGGCTTTTCTGAGGTTACAGTCCAAGAGAATTTCTGTGCTTTGGCTCACTCTTTTCTCAAGATTTGCACTTGACCTACCCAAGATCCCTATAGAGGATCTTTTTCAGAAATCAGTTGTTATTGTATGATGCTGTGGTAACACAAAGGGATAATTCTAGTTGTTGCTCACTAGAGGATTAAAAAGGAAAACTGGGAAAGGATATGTCCACTAGGTTTAAAACGGCCATGCACGCGCACAGGCTGTGTATATGCCCAGGAAAAGTCCTGAGGAAGTACTCACCTCTCCCCCATGGTTGACCCTGAGGTTCTATGTAAGCAGGAAATCATGAGTCATGAGAAAGCTGCTGTAGGGTTGAAGGTAAAACTCAAGTACCTGGCTGAGTGACTTATCAGTTCAAGGCAGGTAAGGAAAACTGTCCAAAATCAGTCAAACACTGTGCTAGTAGAACAGAGAATCCAGTGGCTTCACATGAACAAGAATGGAGTGCTACACAAATAGTCCAAGTAAGTTTCTGAACTGGAAGCAATAAAAATACATCAGTAGCAAGAACAGGCTCTAGAGAGTGTGTGTGGTGTGTATGATTTCAACATAACATTTAAAATATCAAGTTACCAACAAAAATTATTAGCCATGCAATGAAACAGGAAAAGGTCACCCATACATTAGACTAAGAGAAAGCAGTTGCTGTAACCTGTCCCAGCAGAAGCCCAGGCATCGGATTTACGGGACAGAACCTTAAATAAGTATGTTCAAAGAACCTAAAGAAACCATGTCTGAAGAATTGAAGGTAAGGATAAGAATGATTTCTCACTGAATGGAAAGCCATAACAAGGTGATAGAAACTATTTTGAAAAGAAAACAATTAGAAATTCTAGAGTTGAAAAATATAATAACTGAAATTTCAAATTTACTAGAGGGGCCTAGCAGTATATTTGAGCTGGCAGATGGAGAATCGGTCAATTTGAAGTTAAGTCAGTAAAATTATCAAGTCTATCAAATAAATGAGAAGAGAATGAAGAAACCATTGCTGAGCTTTAGAATTATGACTCAAACTCTGGCTGCTTTTTATCAAGATTTGGTGTATTTGTTAGGTGTACCTAAAATGGAAGATTCTTCAAGAACTCCAGTCCTTTAGGGGTAAAATATTATGTATCAGGTAAATATAAGCAGTGACCACAGGAGGAAGAGATCACAAGGCTCTGTGGGAAAACATTGTAATTAAACTTTCCAATTCACAGGTGACCACAGCAAAAGGACCAGGACCAAGACATTCCTGTAACAAAAATTAACTAATCATCTATTTTATTGGCTACACTCTGGGCTAGGAGCTTTGATGTAATGCCTTGGAATCTTTAAAACACTTCCAATTAGAGGAACTTGGTTAGATTGTTTCAGACCCATGGATTCACTTATCCACCATGTACTTCATATTTAACCTTTGTTTTCTCAACTCAAGATGGTGCTAACAAGATCACCTCCTGCAAAACTGTGAAAGCGAAGTTACTCACGTAAAGAGCTGAGTGTGCTGCAGGGCATACAGTAAAAGTTCCAGAAAAGCTCCAGTCATGACGCAGGAAGGCTGCAGTCTGCAGGTGAGAGGGGACCGGAAATCAGGAACTCAAATGTCTGAGGCACTTTCTAAGATGCTTGAGCATCTAAACCCAAGGTCCCAACTCTGTGGGAGAAACAAGGACTTTTAAACTGATAGCCTCTTTTAGCCTGACCTTTTCCCTGCAAATCCAGCTTTGGGCATCTTTTCTGTAGCAGCAGGTGACCAAAAGCTACAGAGCTACACTAGGAAGGAGACTCCTGGGAGAAGAGGCAGGCAGAGGGTCAAAGAGTGGCCCAGGAGTGGATGGAAGAAGCACTGTGACAGCTTGGGGAAATATGCCGAGGAGGGGTTGCGGAGAGGCGGGGAGGGCTGTGGGGAAGGGGCTCTGTGAAGAGTGGTGACAGCGAGAAGCTTCTGGGAGGGGCCTTGCAGAGAGGTCCCCGCCGAGGGGCCAGGAGTTGCAGCGAACAGGATGACAGACTACCGTGGCAGGGCGGAGAAGGCCGGGGTGGGGCGGGGCCAGAGGAGGAGCGCTGAGAGGCAGTGACGGACGCGGCGAGGAGGCGGGGCCTGGGGGGGGAAAGGGGCGTGGCGAGGGCGTGGTGGGTTGGCTTCGGGGCCAGGGAGGGGCGGGGCGGAGGGGCGAGGCGTGGACTTGGAGAGGGCGGGGCGGAGGGAGGAGCAAAGCTAAGCGCACTAGGTGCTGACCCACAGGGATGGTCCCCTGTTCAGACCACAGAAGAGCCAGCGGTCTTCAGAGCCATGTTGGCGGCGGTGGGCTCCCTGGTGGCCGCCTTCTGGGCGACGCTCCATCTCCGGACGCTCCTGCTGGCTGCTGTCGTCTTTCTGTTCGTTGTTGACTTCCTCAAAGGCTGGCGCCCCCAAAACAACCCTCCAGGGCCCTGGCGCCTGCCCTCCCTAGGCAGCTTTTTCACGTGAACGTTGAGCAATTGCACTTTGAGATTCAGAAGGTAGGAGGAGGCAAAGGTATCTGTAAATCTTGACCTGCAGTGTTAACCTGGGCAGGAGGATGGGTGGCTCTAAGGCTGATACTGGCAACTGCCAAACCCACTCTGAATTGTTTTAAAACTTACCTGTCAACTGGCACCATTCTACCTGCCCCTTCTAGTCCTGGAAATAAATTCAATGTCTACTATTAGTTTATTGGGTATGTTATGTTCCTTAGCTCACTTAATTGTATGTTATCTTCTTAAGTGTTGTTGACACATTTATCTTAGTTGAAACATCTTATCTTCGTTTTATACTATTATCCTTAAAAATGCTTACTTTCCTTCTGGGCTACTCCATCATCTATGTAAAATGATGGCATGCCACCTAAATCCTTATAATTTCTCAGCTGGTTAAGGCCGACTCCAGCCACACTGAGCCCCCTAGCCTTCTGACTCCTGCCCCTGCAGTGTACTCACACTAAGTAATGATTTAAAATCTCAGACTTCTTAAATTTTCTCAGTGCACTCACTGTCTACAAGTGGAACTCACATTCCTTGCCTCAGCCGCTGTCCACCTCTATAAACTTCTCCCTCTAGAGCTTCCTAACTCCCAGGACTCTGCTTCTTGGAAGTGCTCTCAAATATCCAAACGTTCTCAAGAATCTTCAGCTGGCTTCCTTGCCACTAAACATTGCCATTAGTGGAGACCACACTGTGTCAGGTGATTGTGAAGATTTAATAGTGAATGATCTACAGGAGCACCACTTAAAGCTGGTACCAACCATAGTAGTTCCCTTCTCTCTGCAAGATTCCTGAGGTGTTTTGAACATCTGTTTGTGCACTTGAGTTCAGGTGGACAACCTTCTATACTCTAGAACAAAAGCACCCACTGGTCATATTAGAAAATTCATCACAGAATTTTTAATCTAAAGCCCTAAACCTGTGTTCTTGTTTTAAAAAATGGTATGATCAATTTCCAAATACTTGGGAATTTTCCTGTTATCTTTATGTTAATGATTCCCAGTATTTCCAATGTGAGTTCCTTTTCTTCCTTACTTTCTCCTCCTCCTCCATTTCCTCTTCCTCCTTCTCTCTTTTCTTCTTTTTCTTTTTCCTGAAGTACTGTAGCTTGAACTCAGGGCCTACACCTTGAGACACTCAACCAGCCCTTTTTCTTGAAGGGTTTATTCCAGCAGGGTCTCGTGGAACTGTTGGCCCAGGCTGGTTTCAAACCAGAGTCCTCCTGATCTCTGTCTCCTGAGTAGCTAGGATTACAGCTGTGAGCCACCAGAGCCAGGCTCTTCTCTCTTTTTTGTTTGTTTTCCAGACAAGCTCTTACTATGAAGCCCAGGCTTCCAGCATGATTTCATTATGGCTAGTGAACATACTCGATATGATTTCAATTCTTTTAAATATATCAAGGTCGATTTGATGACACAAGATATAGTATATCTTGATAAATGAACCATGCTCTTTAAAAAAATATATATTCTACTCTCTTCTGGAGGATTTTCTACAGATATCAACTCAATCTCATTGGGTAATAGCATTGTTTATTTCTTCTATATACTTGCTCACTTCTTACCTACTGATTCTGTCAACTACTGACAAATATATGTTCCAACAGCCAACTCCAGTGTGAGTTTGTTCATTCTCTCCATTCAGTTCTAGTAGCTTTTCCTTCACATGTTTGGAAACTCTGTTTTGTACATAATGCATATTTAAGACTGACACTTATTTTTAATGAATTGACCCTTTTACCATGTAATGTCCCTTTTTATAGCTAGTAATTTTCTTTGCCCCAACCTGATGTTATGGGATATAATATAGCCATGCTAGCTCTCTTTTGATTAGTATTTGAATTATATATTTTAATTCTTTTACTCTATTCAGCTTACATCATCAGATTTAAAATGAATGCTTCTAGAGATCATATACTTGGGTCATTTTTTAAATTACTTCCCTTTCTGTCCTTTGGAAAATGTAGGCAATTTCTACTAAATGTATTTATTGAGTTTATAATTTTATTGTTTTCAGGCTTTTGCTCAGTTTTCATTTCTGTTTCCCTTTACCCATCTTTTGTGGGATACCTTGACATCTTTTAAATAATTCTTATTTTATTTGTCTGTGGTATTTTGGAGTGTATCTCTGTATTGTTATTCAAGTGGTTGGAATAAAGATTACAATATGCTTATGTAGCTTATTGGAATTTGCTAATGCCAACATTTTCCACTTCAAGTGATATATACACAAATTACCAAACATTCAAGGCTCTTTACTCTCCTTCCTAATAATAATATAATTATCTTAAATGTTGTTTCTGCATACACCAAGAACAACATTAGACAGCACTATAATTTTGCTTTTAAATACAAATGCAATTTTGAAAATTCAGGAGGAGAGAAATAGCCTATTGTATTGATGCATTTATTTACCCTTTTCATTGCTTTTTCTGCTTTCCTGGTATTCCAGGTTTATAATTTCCCTTCTAATCAGAGCCAGACATGTAGAGGAATTCTAGCAAAAACAAACAATTCTCTTAGCTTTCTTTCATCTGAGGATATCTAATTTTACCTTCATTCTGAGCATATATTCACTGATGTAGGATTCCATATTACCAGTTCTTGCACCAAACCATTTTAAATGTGTGCTTCTGGCCTTTGTGGTTTCTGGTGAGAAGTCTGCTGTGATGTGTCTTGTTAGTGCCCAAGGGTAATGAGGTTTTCTCTCTGCCTGCTTTCCACAAATTTTTATTATTTATTTATTAGTTTTCATAGAATTTATTGTAAATAGGTTATGTTGTTTGGATTCTTTAGTCTGAATGCATTTTGGCAGATGGCTGAATTTCAGCTATTCTCTCATCAAGTATTTTTTTCAATCTCACATTCTTTTCCTTTCCTTCTAGATGGTTGGACTCAGGTGGGACAACTGTGAGCTCTCTTGGTGTTGAGTCACCATGACCTGAGTCTCAGGCTTTGTGGTTTTCAATACATTGTCTCTGTGTTGTTCAGATCAGGTATTTTCCTCTGTTCTCACTTCACTTTAACAGATACTTCTAACATTACTGTTGTGTTTTTGAGCAGCTCTATGGAGTTTTTAAGTTTAGCTTTTGTAGTTGTCTGCCCTAACATTTCCTTTTGGCTCATCTCTGTCTTTTAATTTTTTTCCTCATATTTCCTATTTTATTTGTTTTAAGGGTTTTTGTAATTTTTCATTGGAACATTTTTCAAACAGCTGTTTTAAAATATGTCATGTCCTATAATTCCAAATTCTGTGTGATTTAGTCTAATAGAAATTCCCCTGGTGCTTGGTTAGTAAGAGACATGAAACAGCAACCCTTAAGGGTAAGATAGCCACATATTTACTGCAGGGGAGATAGAAGCCAGAGATCTGCCTGCATCTGCTGCATGGGGAAGGGCACCTTATTTTTCCCGTAGAACAAGAGTGGAATCAGAATTCTGCCATTAGACTACTTCACGGAATCTCTTTACAGCTGTCTCTTTAAAGAGAAGAAAGTCCCAATTCAACCCACAGACTCAGTGCAAGAAGGACACACAAGAAAGGTGAAAGACAAGATTGCATCCATGACAATTGCTGCAATGCCTTTTAGAGCCACAGCTTTTTCATGTTGTTCATGTACAGAACATAGAGGTTAGGAAGGCTAAAATTTTTTTGTTTTGTTTTGTTTTCCTTTGAGCTGTAGTTTTCCTGGCTTTTGTCTAAAGAAAGTAACTTTTTGTTGATGTTAAATATCTGTTAAGTGTGATCATTGTTTAGTAGTATTAAGAGAGAAAACTTTGATCTTGTCTGCATTAAGATGTTTGATCAGTGTTTTTGTTTTGCTACTAAGGTAGATGTGACCACAGAATTTCAATGATTTGCCTAATGTCACAAAAGTGTCTAGTGATTAAACTGAGGCTAAGATCTTAAGCCTACCCAGTGAATTTTCACCACATTGTCTATTTCTATTTTATAAAGCTTCTCATTTTTATAATTTTGGGTATAAAACCAGTTAATTGTTTTAATTGTTACAATTCAATTTAAGTTCTTGCATTTGGGAAACATCTGGATTTTTATGTTCATTCTCACTTAATCTTTATGATAGGTAAACAACTGTCTTTGTTTGCTTTTCTTGCTCCCATTTCAGTCCTTTCTGTTTTCTTTTTCTATTATCCTTTATGATTTCAAAACTGTATTGGCTTCTTGAACCATCTTATTTTTACCTCTTTTGTTTCATTACCCATTGTTTTAAGTCTTTAAAATGACTTTTCAATATAGTACATTGAAAAGTGAGCTCTGTGTTATGAAATCTTTTCAGACACCATGTGGGTCATTTAATACCCATGAAGCAAGTGACAATAAAACCTAGCACATTTCAGAATTGTTAAGTAGAGTTGCAGGATATTGTTTTACCTATCCATGTTTGCCTAGTTGACGACACTATAAAAATTTTTGATTCAGTTCTGTTGAAATAGAAATATAAATTAGTAAAAAAGTGGCAAAAATAGAAGACTGAAGTTCATTTCAGTAAACACATTGACACTGGTGTGCTGAATCTGCCCCAAGTACAAGTTAAGACTCTAGTTATATACATTCCTAGTTGGGGATCATTTAACTTAATCTGAGATTTTCATCTTTAGCCATATAAGGCTCCGGTAGATAGGGGCACAAGTAATACTACACATGCGTGTGCACACATGCACACACATACTGAACACCAAGACACGCTCATTTATCCAGATCTGGGGAAAGGAAGTTACTGTCCAATGGTACAAAGCATAATCCTTCTAAGGGAGAGTTTTCTTTTTTGGTTTATAAATATGACATAGGTTTGTCTTACATTTTTCAGCTGGTACCTCAGATAGACAGCAAAGGAAATCAGCCTGATTTACGAACATTAGATTTTTAACCTGCTGAATTCACCAGTCTACCCTGAGCCCAGCAGAGTGCAGTATACATAGTAAGCATTAAGCAAATTTTTGTTAAATGAATTGACGAATATTCTCACACCAATCAGCAAACCCATCATTTAGCAGTCTTACTTTCATTATTTGCATAAACTAAAATAATTTTCACTGCAATACTGCTAGTTATGAGCTAGTAAACATCTACTTACAGAGCTGGGTATGGTGGCACATGACTATAAACCTAGCACTCTACAAGCTGAGAGGCTTGAGG